AAAATCGTGATTTATCGAATCATTAACATTATCTCATATAAAATAGAAAAATAAGACGACTATAGTTGGGTTAGGATCTTGAATGTTTGAGGCATTAAAGTTTAATTAACGAGGCATTTGAGAAATTTTAGCCACAATTATTTTTTCCACTTAGTTAGATTTATACTACTAGACTACTTTGGCCGGAGTTTTTCGATGGAAAATGTCRTCGAAAATTTCGACAGATTTTAGATTATTTTCTCTCCCAAATTTTCGATAGTTTGTGACCGATTATCGATTTCCAGAAAGCTGTCTATTTCCAATCAAAAATCTTTGAAGGATTATCGACGGACCATGGGTAAACATTAGATTCGACGCAAATAATGCAGGCCATCGAAAATTCGTTGAAGTCCAACGAAAATCCATCAAAATATATTCAAATAATTATTAATTAATTTTTTTTGAAATCCGTCGAAAATCTGTCAAAGAATTCCATTGAAAATATTCAAAATTTTATCCATCACTATATATTTAAATCATTAATAATGTCTAAGATAATATATTTTAAAAGATAATCACTTTCCGTCTTAGACGGATTTTAGATGGAATCCGTCGTATTGTCGAAAAGTTGTCCAAAGTTAGATAAAAACTAATTTAATTCTACAGAATAAAGATTATTAAATACAAATATGGAACTCATCGTTTACATTTTCACATGCCCTGGGACTCATGATTTGCATTTTCTCATGTTCTAAGTCCTTGCCACTAACAAAATCAAAAAAGAAACCGTTAACCCAATTAAATAAGGGTGTATTTTAGCCTTTTTATCCTTAATTATATTTTGTCTTTGTTATATATATACACACACGTTAATAAAATTGGGTTTTTTAGGACACCATCAATTTTAAGCTTCCTAATAGATTGTTATACAAGACTTAATTTATGGGATCAAAATATAAAGCGTCAAGGTGTTGTAATAAGTTTATATGATATTTTTTTGGCTTTTTAACAAGTTTTTACGACATTTTTAATGTGAAGCGTCGCATTAACAATTTTATATGACACTTTTGAGAATCCTGTAAATCCATATTTTCATAGGACACTTGTTTTTATATAACACTTTTCCAAACAGTGTTCTATAAAATTGCGAATGTAACAACTTTTTATTACAAGTGTCTTAAATAAATTGTTATGACGTCTAAAAATGTTCTATAAACCTGATTTGTTTGTAGTGACATCTACATACACACATATATACACCCACCACTGTCTACAATTTCCCGAAGACACCCACCACTGTCTGTGATTTCCTCCGTCAACCCTACCATCACTTACAAAGATTCAACATCAACGGTTTCTTCTCCCCGTTCACCTCCACGTCCACCATTGGCACATACATCATGGGAACCAATCTTTTCATCTCCAATCTCCACCAGCACCAAACACAATCTATGTTATTTTTCTTCTGCATCTCAAAAGCTTGGATAGATTTTGACTTTGGGCTTTTAATTTGGGGATTTGATGGAAAGTCGTATTTGAGATTCGAAGATCAGGATTCTAGGTTTTGAATACGTCATCGATGGATTTTTTTTAGCATTAGATCGAAAAATGAAAATGAAAATAGATGGTTATTTGCTCGATGGAAGCCGAATCCAGGTTTTGCTGGATTATTTGCTCGATTTTTACATGCATGTGATTTTTGCTCGATTTTATAGCCCTGTGGGTATTTGCTCGATTTTTGTTGGGTTTCACAATGTGAGGCAAAGATGAACAAAAATGGAGATAAGGAGGAGATGGGCTGGCATGTGGAGAGGGAGATGGAGATGTGTTGCTAGTGTAAKAAGGGAGACAACAAGAAGCTTTGTGTTGCTCACTAGAAAAGATGGTAATATTACTGGTATAGTGGGGAGGCGATAGGGAAGACCTTTGAGTATTATGTGTGTCATATATATATATATATATATATATAGGGTTGGGTTCACGTGAGACCAAGGGTTTTTCGTGAGACCTGTGAGACCAGTTTATGTTCATTGATCAACTTTATAAACTAATGATCTAACGGTCTAAAGTTGCACGGTGGCAATTGGCAATTTTGTGATTAAGAATGTTGAGATTGTAGATCTAATCCAAGGGTTGAGAATTGTTCTTACGGGTCTCACGAAAAAACTTTGGTCTCATATGATCCCAAGTCTATATATATATATATATATATATATGTTCATGCATACATATATATATATATATATATATAATACATTATAAAAATACAATAGAGTTATAACAAATGAACCTAAATAGACCAAACTACCCTTCATCGTAACAAAAGTTTTTAATAGAGTTAGAAGGAAAGACTTAAAACAGCGAGAAAATATAAAACATGAGTCTCATATTTGTATTCACTATAGGTAAAAAGGGTAAACCATAGGGACCAAATACGTAATTTTCTCAAAAGTAAATTAGTATCTTAATTGCTTTTGACTTTTGGTTTCATATGTGATATATTCCCAATTTATTCAAGGGTATTCTTGCGAATAACATAAAAGGATGACCAACTATACTTTACAAACTGCTAACTTCAAGGCYTGCTCCATTGTCATTGTATTCAAAAACGTTAAATATAAATGAAACGATCGATGGTTATCGTTCTCGTCTCAAATGTTACCCCACCCCAAGGTACTTTACTCATACTGCCACTACAATGGAATTTTTAAAACGTTTGACTATTATTGAATGTCATAATAGAGTATTTAATGAGAATTTATGTTTAAATACTAACAACTGTTCATTTTATAGAATTATGCTACAATAATATGTTAAGACGAAGTTAGGCGACCTAATAAGTTTTATCAATGAAGTTGGATCACTTTATAAGACTCAAAAAGTACTTGGTACATTCTTTTAGCCTTTTAAAGTTGTTCTATATAACATATTTTA